TAATAATAAAAAAAAAAAATATCCCAAAATCATTTTCAAAACTCTTTTTATCAACTTATCTTTCAAAATATAATTCAAAACTCAAAAATCGGTTCAATTCAGTACGGTTTGATAAAAGAAGTGATTTGTATTGGTGTTCAAATAAAATCGAAATTATCAGTTTGGTGAATTTTTTTACCTAAATACCAACTGTACCGAATCGATTACATCCATATTCTACCTATCAATCAATCAAATTGTCTCACACCCATAGGGAGGGGAGAGGGAGAAGAGGGAGGAAGGAGGAGGGAGGAGGCTGCGAGCTCGCCATCGCAGCTCGTCGCCTCGCCGCCGGCCGTCGCAGCCGTCCGATCGTCGCCCGATCCAGCTCGTCGCAGCAGCTACACCGCCGTCGCCTCCGCCTCCGGCCCCGCCTCCGCCTCCTCCTCCTCCTCCTCCCTCCTCCTTCCTCCCTCCCTCTTCCTCTCCTTCCTCCCTCTCTTCCTCTGTGTTTTTTTTTTTTTGAAAATTTGCCCCCAAAACGACATCGTTTTGGGGGCTACTGGGTTTGACTGCCGTTTAGGGCGGCCGAGAATCCTTGCTCCACTACACAGCAGACCTATGTTAGTCATTAAACATATTTTATTTTTTATTACGCACAATTTATGTCGTAAATGGTAGGAATGAAAAAAATAGGCGCCAAAATAAAATAAATGGCACCAATCACCAAGAAAATATTAGAAAGAAAAAAAGGAAAGTTTGTCAAAATACAAACTTTTGGCTTCAAATGGATTCTGAAGGGACATTTTGAGTTGTTAAACGGAGAAGAAAGGGAGAATATAGAGGGTTTGAAGGGGAGATTGGTTCGGCAGCGGCGAGACTTCGACCTGGAACGGTGCTTTCTCTTCGGCGGCGAGACTGGTTCGGCAATGGTGATGATTGATGGTTCGAAGGGGAAGGGTTTCGTTCTTCTCTTTTCTTCGATCCGGAAAAAATCTCAGTTTGATGCTTGAGGTATGTTTGTTATTGATTCTTCTCTTCAAATTTCTCTGGCCGCCGCCAAACCCCCCTCCGCCCTTTCATGCGTGAGGCCTTCGTCACCTCCTCTCTCTTCCCCACTACCCAACTCCACAATTCCCCCAAACCGTAATCTCTCTCTCTCTCTCTCTCCCTCTCCCTCTCCTTCTATTCTTCCTTCTCATGACCCCTTTTCAAGCCCAATTGATCCACTCCCACAACTACGAAGCATTTCAATTCCGATCATCTACCCAATCTTTTGAAGCTAAAACCTTAGATGTGGTCAACATTGGTCCAGTTTTTCGAAGCCACTACGGTGATTTTCCGCCTAATTCTCTTTTTTCGACATTGGGGTATGAATTGAGGGGGTTGAATTCGATGGTGGAGGATGGAAAAGGTGAGATTGAGAGCTTGGAGGGTATGAGTAGGGTTTCCAATGAATAGAGGGAGCTTGATTTATGTGCTGATGAGTTCGATGTGGGGCGGTTGAATCGGTTGCTGGGGCTAATTATTTTTTGGGATAGTTGAAATCCTTGCAGCTTGTTCCAAGCCTAACAGCAGAACGAGATGATGAAATTTGGAAGGCTGCTTTAAATACTAGCAACAGGTTAGAAGATCCTTGGTGAGTTCTGATCTTATCAAGTTGTAGACTTTATTTGGGGCTAATTATTTTCTGCATTTTGCTCACTGTTTGACATTAAACAGGGGAATTTTGGGGCTTTATTGGCATCAAACTAGAAAGGGTATGACTCTCTCCTATTTTCTTTTTCTCATGTTGTTTTATTACTTATGGGGATCAAAAAGGCATTGGTAGCATTATGTAATGGGTTTTATTGGACTAGGATATGATTTTGAATATTGATATATTAATTTGGGATTTGATTCCATATTTTCTTTCTCTTTTGTTCTTTTGGTGCCACATCAAGTCATTTTTTGACTGTTGATAAGGCTATGATCCTTTTGATATGTTTCCTGATTCTCACACATATTGGGTATGGATCCACTGGTTCATTGGTCAAAATTTTGGTCAAATACCGTGACAATTTGCTGAATTGATTAAGTTAAATTTTCTTTTTAGTTAATGAAATCTTAGTTTCAAATTCACACCAATTCAAGGTACCCGAATTCGAGGCTTGAGGGTTTTGATTAAGAATTGGATTGAAGGTTCGAACCAGGTTCTAAAATTAGAGCTAAAGCTCATTTACTCGGTGGTTTGAATCTTGGTGGGTGATGAACACATTTGCATTTGTAGCTCATCCGTGTCCTATTTAGTGAAATTCTTTTGTGCTTTGAATTATTTAAATCCAAGAAGGAATTTGTAATCGTGGATGATGAAATAAATTTGTGGTCTAAAGGCCACATTATTCTAACAATTAGACTGATAATCTTAATCCCAAATACAAAAGTTTGGGTAGAACGATGCCATTTAAATACTTAACTAGGAAATTACTACACATTAAATTTTTCTTGATTTCTACAGTACTTTGATGGTCCATTGGACCACCTACTAAAGGTCGTGCACATTCAGTTCTATCAAGAACTTGGGCCATTAAAGATCACTCTCACAGAGAAAGTAATTCTCAGCAACTATAAGAACACCTCCAAAAAGGCCTAATTTCTGAATGGGTGAAGCCACCTTATATCTATCTATCTATACTATTATAAAGTGAACACCTCTTATGGTGTCATGAAGCTTTACTCTCCTCATGCCATGTGGCAGTATTTTTTTTATTTTTTAAAAAAAAACTAAACAAAGAGATGGGCAGGGCTTGAACCCATGACCATAGGTTTAAGTACGAGGACTCATACCACTTAAGCTAAGTACACATTATAATATTAATTTCATTATTATTTTTTTATTCCTACTTATTTAAATTGCACACACATCGTGTGTGCCACCCACTAGTATTACTATATGATAGCCCTATACCAGTGCCTAACTTTTGTTTTGTACTATGCCTTGTTACTCATGTCTCTACCGTGTCAACTTTTCCCTTTCCTCTTGTACCTTACCAAGAAGGGGAAAAAATCTAGAAAGAAGAGAGAATTGTTTTGTACTATGCCTTTTTACTCATGCCTTGTGTTTGTCTTTGTTTATATGTTTAGAAGAGAGAATTATTTCTAGATTTGGCTCCACTTTTGTCGAACTCTTTTGGTACTATCATTGCACTCTTGCAGGTATGCTTTATATTGTTCATAATAATATTTTGTAATCAGTTTTTTGCTCTGTTATCAGAATCTTACGATTTGCGATTCGATTCGCGATTCGATTCCCAATTTTTGTAAAATCGATACGAATCTAAGGGTGAATCTATTTTGGAAGTGAATCTCTAGTGAATCGCACGATTCACAATCGATTCACGATTCGATCCACTTTTTACGATTCATACAATTTTTAAAATTATTGTGTCCGACATATTTTCGACTCTATTTTTCCTCCATCTTTTTATTAAAAATGACATAATACAACTTCTAATAGCGTTTAATACGAAAATAACCAGCATATATACATGCTTTGTTGTTATTTTAGTGATCATGAAGTTTTTAATAGGAACCAATTAGATTTAGTCAGACCTAACATATTTTTAACCTTTCTTCTCATTATTTTTTTTCCTTTAAAAAATCGTAATATATCTTCTAAAGATGTTTAAGATTAAAGTTACACTATGAATTATCTATTGCTATTTTATTAAATTAAATATTACATCTTTTAAAAATATTTTAGGCTTTAAAAAAAAAGATTTTTTTTATTATTTGCTCACTGTTACTTAGAAAAGTATGTATGCTTATTATCCAAATATCAATGTCGTTGTTAGTTATTGTTACTTTAGAAATTGATAGTTTGTCTATTTGATTATTATTTTTATTAAGAATAGTTGATAAGAAATATCTAAAAAAGAAAAAAAAGGTAAGATGGTGATCTTACATAGAA